ATACGTAGCCCCGGTAAAGACAGATACAGAGAGAGAGAGAGGCGGAGGTAGAATTAAAATGAGCTTCCACTGGTGTCCGGTACCCTGCTCGACAGGAGGCTCCTTCTACCTTCGAATCAGCCACTTTTTCCACGTCCCCCTCCTCCTCATTTTGCCATCCTGCGAAGTCAAGATCGACGCACACATCAGCCGAACTAGACAAAAAATCCACAGGTTTGATCAGGTTTCCAGATCCAGGGTCGGAAGACTCACCATCACCTCCACCTCCACGGTGGGAGAAGGCTGCAGCGACCGCAGTATGAGCACCACGTCGTTCGTCAGCCGTTTCACCTGCGAGGAAATGCCTTGGTTCAACCCCCCACGGAGATCCAAGGGGAGAGAAATCGGCGGTAGCAGTCGGAATGACAGTCGCTTACCCTCGGAAAGCTGGCGATGGTATGCACGCTCACCCAGCCTTCCTCGTCCATCTGCATCTTCAGGTGGACGTTTCTCGCCAGATTGTCCTCGCTGCGCAGATTCCAGTCCGTCGTTAATGGATCCAGGCGCAAGATCGGCGATCATCGAAATCGGTACAGAGACGGAGAGAGGGGTACCTGAAGTAGTATTCGATCTGCGTCCGCAGAAGGAGGGTGACGATCTCGGTCCCCAGACGAGGAGTACTCGGAGGAGGAGAAGGAGCGGGAGGCATGGGCTGGGGGGGGCCATAGCTCCATCCCGGCTGGTAAATGGGGGAGAGATACGGGGAAGGGAGAGCGTAACCAGAGAAGCCGCCGTAGTGGGGAGGAGACGGCGGGGGACCCCACTGTCTGTGGGCGTGGCGGCGGTGGAAGCCCTGTCGCCCGTGGAAGCCCGCCATCCTCAGCTTCCTCGGGGAAGACGATGCCGGGAGAAAAGAGGATGGAGAGGTGGAGGGAGAAGAGGAGGAAGAGATATAGGGAGAAGAGGAGAGTTTGAACGTTGGCGGGCTGGGCCCTGGCGGGAACTCAACTGTAGAGCAGGGCAGTTGCGGGCGTGCGGGGTATCCAAATACCGCGGAGCGGCAAGCTTGTGCAGCGGACTTTCCGGAAGGATCTTCGTCGCATCCACCTGACACGTGGGACGCAGGGATGCACTCCCGCCCCGACCACACCCGAAAGGAACTAACAGGTTGTTTATCCCAGAGTGAGCGGGGAAGAGAGAGAGAGAGTCGTACAGAGGGATTTCTAACGTTAGTGTAAGGTAATAGCCGTCGGTGCGTGACATGCATGTGATGAGTTGTGTGTGTGTGGGTTTTTTAAATTTGGCTGTTTCAATTTGTATCTCAATTATTATTCATTACTAAATGAATATTGAGTACATAATTTCTTATACCTTATCGCCCAAACAATATTTTGTATTATTTCTTACTACAGTGCTTTACGTGTTAGATGTTATAAGTCAGCTCACTTCTTACCAAGAGCTAAAATAAAAAAATCTAAAGCAACACAAGTAGAAATAATTAAAATATCTCTATTGAGGGTAGAGAAGATGTCTTGAATGTTAGTAGATACACTAAATACACACCTGATTATTATAAATAATAATTTTAGTATTTGGTTAAAATATTATTGTAGAGATATGTTTTATACATTATACTACCTTGTGAGATAAATTTTATCCACTATAATAGAAGGCTTTATATTGTGTACTCTTAATGTGATACTCTTGTTATTTTTAGCAATGCCATTTTGAAAAAAATTGCTTGAATATAGTGTGTGTAATATATATATATGTATATATTTGCAAAAAAAATTCAAGTTTGGATTGTAATTTCTTATGAAGGAAATAAATGCAAAAAAGTCAATGAAGTATAATTAGGTGTTTTGCAAGTGTTTTATATGAACATCTCTAGACATATTTATTCATATGTAGTCCTCAAATATTGAATATTTTTATTTAGTTAACCTTTATTTCTTGTTATCATACATATGAAGAAACAATGTATAAGGCTATAGAATAGATAAAATGAAGCTAAGGAGAGAACAATAGCGCAGGAAAAGACACGCTTCATGTGACTTGAACCCACCAGTGACTAATTAGAAGTCAGATGCCTACATTAAAAAACTATAATGGAAGACTAACACAACCACAAGGGGAAAGAATTACAGCTTATAATAGAAAAGACAAACATAAGAACATATAAGAAGTGAATGAATTAAACTCAACAATGCACCAACCAAATTTTAACATCATTCACAAAAAGACTATAAATACACATAATTACCATAAAATCTATTATCAGAAACTAGACTATAGTGAAGATATATGGATATTACTATTCAAATATTAGAAAATAATTACGATAGAAGTTAATGTAGTCTAAGAGATGACTCTAAATCCTAAAGGGACTATAAAGACTAAACTGAGTCTGGCGGGGTTTATAAGTCTTTATTATCATGAGTTAATAATTAGTAAATAATATAGTTTTAGCCTTAACTCATGATAAATAGACTTATATTTGTGTTAAAGTGTGAAATTCTTATAATTCTAATTAGAGGAGTATTTTTTCATGGAGAGACCCAAATAATATTCAAAATCTAGAAGCACTTAGACCTAATTCAAACTCTAAATTTCATCTAAAATAAAAAAACAGATTTCAAAAAAATCAGCCCTCTCAAACCCAATCTAATATTATGGAAATGATGCAAAAATGAGCCAAATGATACAACAAATTATGAATCAAATGATGCTGCAACATAAACAAATTATAGAGGCTCTTGGGAATAAGAGAGAAGAGGGACAACTACCTAGTCAGCCCCTAGAAAATCTAGAGAACTGTCCAACAATAGGATTTCAACAAGGGGAGTCTAGTAGCATGAATCTAGGAAAAACCCACGAAATGAAAATGTTAGAATAGTGAATGCATTGAGAAGTGGTAAGATCTTACTTGATCCTTTCCCCAAACATTAGAAGAAAAGGAAAAGATAGACAGCCCAAAACAAAATCAAATAGGAGTAGAAGAAGATTTTATAGATTCTACCAAGGAAATTTCGAAAGAGAGGACAACCATTCCATTTCCTAAAGCTCTAGAGCCTAGACAAAGAAAGAAAAAGGAACACAATGAAGAAATAAAGAAAATTTTACAAGATATGTAAATTAATCTTTCTTTACTCACTACCATTAAACATATTCCTAAAAGTGTTAAAGTTTTGAAAGAAATGTATACACCAAAAAGAGCACCTAGAGTAGAAAAATTATCTATACATACTAGTGCTTTATTATTAAATCAATTACCATATAAATTGAGGGATATGGGTGCCCCTTTAATTTTGTGTGGTATTGGTGGATCCATTTTTCAAAATACATTACTTGACACCAATGCTAGTATTAATTTATTACCTACAAGTATTTGTGATAAATTTAATATTACTAATCTTAAACCTTCTACTATTACCTTACAATTTGGTGATAAATCTATAAAGCATCCTAAAAGTATTTTAGAAAATGTGATAGTGACAATTAAAGGGTGTAAGTTTCTAGCTGATTTTGTAGTGGTAGAAATAGATTTTAATGGATAATTTTATGATACACCAATCATCCTAGGGAGACCATTTTTGCATACAACAAAGATGAATATTTATTTTCTCATAGGTATTATGAAAATTTTATATGGAGATCAATCAGTAGAAATTAAAATTTTTGATGTAGCAAATGATCTTAAGAAATCCCAAGTATATGATTAACATACCATAGATCTTCTAGATGATTTTCATGATCCAGATGTTATTGATGACTATGTGCTGGAAGAATTAGAGGAAGTAGAGAATATAAATTTAAGAGAAAAGAAAGAGGAAGATCATCTGAATTTAGAGTTGAAACCTCTTCCCTCTAGTTTAAAATATATGTTTTTGGAGGAAAATAATTCATTTCTTATTATTATTGTAGTTGATTTGAGTGATGAATAGGAAGAAGAATGATTAGATGTACTTTGAAAAAATAAGAAAGTTATTGAGTGAAAAATGGATGATCTAAGAGGCATTCATATGAGTGTATGTATGTATAATATATATCTAAAGGAGGGGGCTAGGACTAGCAGGGAACCACAATGAAGATTAAATCCTAACATGATGGAAATTGTAAAAAAAGAAATTTTAAAGTAGTTGGTTGTTGATATTCTTTATCCTATTTCAACTAGAAAATGGCTTAGTCCTATACAAATGGTGCCAAAAAAAATCAGGGATCACGTTTATAAAAAACAAAAATGGGGATGAAATACAAACAAGATTAACTAACACTTGGAGGGTTTGCATTGATTATAGAAAATTAAATTCAGTTACTAGAAAAGATCATTTTCCCCTACCATTTACTAATCAAATTCTAGAAAAATTAGTTGAAAAAACTTTTTTTGTTGTCTAGATGGATACTCTAGTTATAATCAAATTTATATAAACCCTTTAGATCAAGAAAAAATAACTTTCACTTGTCCATTTGGTACTTTTACTTTTAAATGCATGCCTTTTGGTCTGTGTAATTATCTAGCCACATTTCAAAGATGTATGCTGTCTATTTTTTCTGATATGACAAGAAAATATATGAAAATTTTTATGGACGATTTTTCTATTTTTGGTGAATCATTTGATGAATGTTTAAATCATTTATAGCATGTACTTGAGAAATGTATAGAGAAAAAATTAGTTTTGAGTTGGGAGAAATCACATTTTATGGTTAGAGAGGGAGTTGTGTTGGGTCATATTATGAGTGAAAATGGTTTAGAGGTGGATAGAGCAAAAATTGATATTATATCTAAAATGAAACCTCCAAATTCAGTAAAATAGATTAGATCTTTCTTGGGTCATGTAGGTTATTATAGAAAATTTATTCAAGATTTTTCAAAATTTTCTAAACCTCTCACCATGTTATTATCTAAAGATGTGCCTTTTAATTTTGATGAGAAATGTTTTGAGTCTTTTTCTAAAATAAAAAGATTACTTATTGAGGCACCCATTTTACAAGCTCTTGATTGGTCCTTTCCCCTTGAAATAATGTGTGATGCATTGAATTATGTAGTGGGGACCGTTCTAGGACAAACAAAAGAGTCAAAACCCATAGTAATTTCATATGCTAGTAAAACTATATTTAATGCTCAATTAAATTATACCACGATTGGAAAAGAGTCGTTCGTTGTAGTATTTTTATTAGAAAGGTTTAAATCATATATTTTGAGAGCTAAAATTATTCTTTATACTGATCATGTAGTATTAAAATATTTGTTAAATAAGAAAGATGCAAAGCCATGTTTATTAAGATGTATTTATTGTTGTAAGAATTTGACTTAGAAATAAAAGATAAAAAAGGTTTCGAGAATGTTGTTTGCTGATCATCTTTTTAGATTAAGTGATACAAGAATAAATGTAGAACCTTTACAAGACACATTTCTAGATGAACAATTCATGGCAGCTCAACATCAACCATCACCATGGTATGCACATATTTTTAATTTTCTGATTTCTAGAAAAATTCTAGAATAGTGAGATAAGAATAGAAAACATCATTTCTTTTCTAAGATTAGAAATTATTTTTGGCATGATCTTGATTTATATTAGTTGGGCAATGATCAAATTTTAAGGAGATGTATTCCTGAAGAAGAATATCATAACATTATTAACATGTGTCATTCATCTAACTGAGGAGGACATTTCTTTGGAAAAAAAATAGCTGCAAAAAAAATTCAGTGTAGTTTTTATTAGCCTACAATCATTAGAGATTCTATAGAATTTAGTAGAACATGTATTTCATGTCAATCTATAAGTAACATGAATAAGAAAATATGAAATACCCATGAGTAATATGTTAGTAGTTGAAAGTTTTCATGTATAGGGAATAGATTTCATGGGTCCCTTCCCATCAGCTGAAAAATATGAATATATTTTGCTTGCCGTTGATTATGTGTCGAAGTGGGTGGAAGCTATTTCTACTAGAACTAATGATCATAAAATCATGATGAAATTTGTGTAGGAAAATGTTTTTTGAGATTTGGATTTCTTAGAGTGATTATTAGTGACAGAGGAACACATTTTACAAATAAACATTTTAGGAAACTATTGAAAGAGAATGGATTGCACCATAGAGTAGCCACTCCATATCATCCCCAGACAAATGGGCAAATTGAAGTAGCAAATAGGGAAATTCAAAGAATTTTGAGAAAAATAGTTAGACTAAATAAGAAAGATTGACCCACGAAATTACAAGATGTATTATGGGCCTATAGAATAGCTTGTAAAAATCACATAGGTATGTCCCCATTTCATCTTATTTTTAGAAAACCATGTCATCTTCTTGTGGAAATAGAACATAAAGCATTATGGGCTATAAAAACTTTATGTATGGATGAAAAATCAGTTGGAGGGCATAAAATTTTTCAGCTACATGAACTAGAGGAGTTGAGGAATGAAGCTTCTGAAAATCATAAAATATATAAAGAAAAAACTAAAACTTTTCATTATAAATACATTAGCAGAATTTTTTTTGATGTTGGACAAAAAGTGTGGTTATATGATTCTAGGCTGAAATTATTTCCAAGAAAATAAAAATAAAAATAGATAGGCCCTTATATGGTGCAAGAGACATATGATCATGGAGTTGTAATGATTAAAGATCCTAAAAGTGATCATAACTTTAAGGTAAATGGACAGCGGCTTAAACATTATATAGAACACAAATGCCTTGCAAATATAGAAATTTTATTATCAAAAGAAATTCAAGAGTAAGATTAAGGTGTCCAGCTGGAGACGTTAAATTCACACTGCATGGGAGGCAATCCATGGTTTTTATTTCATTTTGTTTGATTTTTTTAAGCTCTATTTTTCTTAGAATTTCACAATACTTGTTTTTGTATTTGTTTTTCTCAAAAAAGTACAAGAGGAGTGTAAGATGAAGTGAAAAATTTAAAATGAGGTTGAGGTGATATCTTTCTGAGCTTTATCATTTATGACAACATTTTTAATGCTTAACTTTGCAGGTATGTATGCTTCACTTGTAAATTATATTTTTCTGCATATTCTATTTCGATTTTTTTGTGTCATTGAGGACAATGTCATTTTTAAGTTGGGAAGTAAAGTATTAATTATTAATTTATGTTTTAGGATGATTAAGAATATGTGTTTGCATTTTATTTTTATTTTTTCATGCTCACTTAAAACAGCAACTAAAAAAAAGAAAAATATAAGAAATTTTTAAAAAACTACAACATCTATTTTGAAGTTTTTTGTCAAAAACAATAGACTGTCAAAAATAGCAGACAAAAAGTAGCTCGAAATTTGAAATTCTAGAGACCCTTTTCTCACATTTCAATCCCCTAGACGTATATTACTAAAATTCGAAATTACAATTATAAAGAAGAAAGTTTTGATTTATTTTTGACAAATTTACTGTTGCTAAAAACAGAACTGAAAATAGAAAATAGAACTGTCATAACTATCAAATTTATAAATTTCTTACATCATATTGTATGCATGAAAAATTAAATCAATTAAATTAATTGATACCAAAAGATACTAGGAAGATTAATATTGAGTCAAAAGAATGATCTAGTAACATGAAATGTTAGAATACTCCTTGAATACATGATAGATAACATGAATTTAATTTTACAGATTTGCACTTTATGATCTTAATGGATAGTATTTACTTGATGTGAAAATTTGATTGATCACTTCAATTTAATGGAGATTTTTGCATCCTAATCTATAGGACTTGTGAGGAAAAATCACTTAGTTCAAAGAAAAAAAAAAGAGAGACAGCAATATGAAAAATCTAGAAATGAAGAGTACACATAGAGGGTGTGAGACATTATTCTCATTGTCAAAATCGTGCATAGAAAAACACTTGCTGCAAAAATAAGTGGATAAAGTGAAAGCCCTAAAAATAAAGAGTACACATGATGTGAGACATCATCCTTATTGTCGAAATTTATTTACAAAAAAAGCTACTTATCCACTATATATAAAAAAAAGAAGGAAGAAATATAGTGCACACTTCAAAAATCAAGTGACGAAAAAAGGGAAATGTAGGATCAATATTATTCTTGGATGAGTATTGATAATTTGAACATCTTGTAAATATATCTATGAGTGAAGAAGTGATAAAGATGAGAATAGAAGAAGTGAAGTCTAGATTGTTATTCTAATGAGTGCTTAAATATTTAATTACTTGACATCATTCTTAAATACTTGATATAAGAATCCAAAGTGTCTAAAGGTGTATCATTTTCAATTTTATTTTCTTTTTATGCATTCAAATATGATGTTTCAGATTCGTAAATTTTTACTTTCGTAATTCCATTGCTAAGGGAATAACAATGATTTAAGTTGTGGGATGTGATTTCAGTTAACTCATGATAAATAGACTTATATTTATGTTAAAGTGTGAAACGGGGTTTTCAGTTGATTAATGTGAATTTTTGGGTAATTATGTGATTTTATATGAATTTATATGATATTTACAGTTTTACTTTTGAGATAAATGAGAAAAAAGAAATAAAAATAAAAATATAGCAAAATGGGGGGTACCTATTGATAAGTCTTCATTATCATGAGTTAATAATTAGTAAATAATATATTTTTAGCCTTAACTCATGATAAATAGACTTATATCTATGTTATAATGTGAAAAATGGTTTTTAGTTAATTAATGTGAATTTTTGGGTAATTATGTAATTTTACACAAATTTATATGAGTTTCACAGTCTTAATTTTGAGATAAATGAAGAAAAAGAAATAAAAAATAAAAAAAAGATAAAATGGGGGGAACCCGCCTGCCAGCTAGGCTTGTAAGTAGGTTGGAAGCATAGTGAAGGAGTAGCCACGAGTAGGGGCTCGAGTGGCTTGGACCAATAGAGGCATGTGTGTGTCACTCTCCTTCCACGTCACTAATGGTCAACGAGCTATGGGGCAAGGAGTGGTCGTACACATGAGAGAAGTGACATGAGTCAATCGTTGTATATTAAATCACACAAATTTAAAATTTATAAAACTAGAAAATACAATTTTTTAGATATTTAAAAGTGTTTTTGAACAAATATATTAATTATAATTTAATAAAACTTCCAAAAAATAGCAGTAATTTTCCAAGTCAATCACAAAGATGTAATCAAATATCTGGTAATTATTCAGAATTTTTCTCAAATAATACTATTTTCTTTGAATTTTATACTAGGAAGAAAAAAGAAAATATATTTAAAATTTACGAAAAAAGGAAATAAGGGTGCAGACGTCAAGATGACCTTAGTGCCCAACGAACACAAATCCGGTGGAAATAGAATTCCACCCAATGATTCTTACGTAAGCGATTACAAACAATTTAATTGATCAAATTAAGATCTGTAAAAGTCAGAAGAATCGCAATGAAATGAAGTATATGTTGGTAAATTTAAAATCAATAATTTATCACTAAATGTAACGGAAATTAAGTTGAAAGTAGGAAAATAGAGTTCCAGCATCACAATAGTGATACACCGGTGATGCACTGAAATCCTAAGCGTTCGGGAGGATCGTTGTGTCGTGTCCACGGCCTCAAAGGCTCTCCTTGGACAAAGACAACATGGGCAATCTCTAGATCTCCTTGCAAAGTCTAGAGATTAATGAAATGGGTCGTTAAATCATCTCCGGTGGCTGTCACCCTGTGGAGCAGAAAAAATTGTGACTTTGCGGCTCTCCGACAGTTGTCACCCGACGGAGAGGAGCTGAATGGAGGTGGCGCGTGTATTAGGGAGCTTCATCCTCAGGTTTGTGCAGCAAGAGGAGGCTCTTCATCGCATCTGGTACGTTCTTAGGAGGTGGTGACTCATCTCCAAGCAGATTGTCCTCTTCTTGATGACGGCTTGTTCATCGATCAATTAGAGATGATTTACTCAATAGATTTGCAATCCTTTTATCGCAAATCCTTCAGTAATTTTAGTAACAATACTTCACGAATCACATTGACAAGACTTTTGCCGATGATCTAGTGATTCTTGTTGCCTAATCCTTCATCGGCGATCTGCTGGAAAGTTGCGATAATCAGATCGCTGGGGAAGGATTAAGCAATGAGAATTGCTAGATCATCGGCAAAAATTTCATCAACAAGATTCGTGGAGCATTGCTACTAAAATTATTGAACAATTCGTAGTAAAAGGATCATGTATCTATCAAGTAAATCATCTCCAATTGATCGACGAACAAGCTGTCATCAGGAAGAGGACGATTCATTAGGAGATGAGTCGTCACCTCTTGAGAGCGTACTGGATGCGATGAAGAGCCTCCTCTTGCTGTGCAGACCTAAAGATGAAGCTCCCTAACATGTGCCTTACCTCCATCCAGCTCTTCTCTGTCGGGTGACAGCCGCCGGAGAGCTGCAAAGTCGGCATTTTTCCACTCTGCTAGGTGACAGCCGCCGAAGATGACTCAACGACTCATTTCATTAATCTCTAGACTTCGCGAAAAGATCTAGAGATTGCCCACGTCATCTTTGTCCAAGGAGAGCCTTTGAGGCTGTGGACACTACACGATGATCCTCCCAAATGCTTAGGATTCCAGTGCATCATTGACACATTGCCGTCATGACGCCAAAACTCTATTTTCTTGTTTTCAACTTACTTTACACTTCATTTAGTGATAATTTTTGTGATTTAAATTTACCAAAATATACTTTGTTCTATTACAATTCTTCCGGCTTTTATAGATCTTAATTTGATTAATTAAATCATCTATAATCGCTTATGTAATAATCCCTAGGCAGAACTCTATTTCCACCCGATTCATGTTCGCTGGGTGCTGACATCATCCTGACGTCCGCATCCATATTTCCCTTTTTTATGAATTTTAAATATATTTCCTTTTCATTTCTTAGTATAAAATTCAATGAAACTTGTATTCATTGAGAAAAATTCTGAATAATTACCAGATATTATATTACATCCTTGTGATCAACCTAGAAAATTACCGCTATTTTTGGAAGTTTTATTAAGTTATAATTGGTATATTTATTTAGAAATACTTCTAAATATCCAAAAATTATATTTTTTAGTTTTATAAATTTTAGATTTGCGTGATTTAATATACAATGACTAAGTCATGTCAGGTCACTAGAATTTCAAATTTTGGGCTATTTTTGTCTACTATTTTTGATAGTTTGTTGTTCTTGATAGAAGACCTGAAAATAGATGTTGTAGTTTTTCTAAATTTTATTTTATTTTAGTTGTAGTTCTAAGTTGAATAAAATCCAAACACATGTTCTTAATCGTCCTACAGTATAAATTAATAATTAATACTTCACCCCCTAACTTAAAAATGATATTGTCCTTAATGACACAGAAAAATCGAAATAAAATATGCAAAAAATATAATTTTCAAGTGAAGTATGCATATGTGCAAAGTTAAGTATTAAAAGTATTGTAATAAATGATAAAGCTCAGAAATACATCACCTCAAACTTATTTTTAATTTTCCACTTCATCTTACACTCCTCGTGCACTTTTTCGAAAAAACAAATACAAAAACAAGTACTACAAAATTCTATGAAAAATAGAGCTTAAAAGAAATCAAATAGAATGAAATAAAAACCATGGGTTGCCTCCCATGCAATGCTGAATTTAATGTCTTCAGGTAGACAGCTCTTAGATCATATAAGATGATCTATGGCCATCAAAATATATTTGTATCCCAAGGTAAGTTTCATGATATTCTTTTTTAGATTTTGCATAAATTCATATACTTCATATATATACCTTGACATACTTTCAGCCAAAACAAAATGAAAATTAACAAAATTTTCCCAAAAATAATATTTCCATTTTGAAATTAATCTTTCCTCATTTCTATCTTATTTTGTAAGGCGTTCATTCATTAATAAATACTTTCTATTAATAGACCATAAAATGTGATTAGGCCATATAATTTTTAAATTAGCTCTTACCTAATCTAGAATTTTTTCATCTAAATTGATATCTCTAATTCTTTCACTCACCCATTTTTTAATGTGTTCTTTTATCTGCATAATCTTCCTCTACTCCATTTTATCTTCCATACATAATTGTTCAATTTGTGAGGAGTGAAATATTTCAAGCTAAGAAATAATTCTAATGGGTTGTAGGTTTTGAAGAATGGAAGGATTGTCTTCTTTAATCTCAGATGTAATAAATTCAGTAAAGTTCAAATTTTCTCCTCTAAAATTATCTCTATATTCATATTGATTATTTTCATTTCTCCTCCAAAATTGTTTTTTTTAATCTAGCTTTTCATTTCTCAACTCATCAAATTCTTCATCTTCTCAAGAGCTATCTTTTAATTTCGGTATATGATATACATCATCATCCTCACTATCAACATCCATGGCTGCAAAATTATGATTAGATTTATTAATTTTGTCTCCTACATCTCTCAAATAAACTGATTTTTCCTCACCTGAAATATGTTTTTCTTTATTTTTGTCCTTAATCCCTTCTACTAAAATTTGGATGATTTTTCCATGATCAGCTGTTGTTTCTTCATCACTATCAACTAATTTGAATATTATTTGGGTTTCTCTACGAAAAATTATTCCACCAATTAGGATTATAATAGTTAGAAAAATATTTCCTAGTTTTTACTAAAATCGTGGGGTACTTGCACTTGTTCTTGCCTATAATGATATTGAAATTCGAAATGATCATTTTCACCATACATAGGACATGTACTATTTGAATTAAATTGAGGGTTAAAAGGCTTTCTAATATTTTCAATAAGTAAGTAAAGTTTTTCTAATCTTTGATTAATCTGATTAACCTCATTTCTAAATTTAGAATCATTATCATGATGTAATTCATGAATTCCTCTCTTCTTATCCATATCATGTAATTCAAAAGAGGCTTGATCTCTAGAATTTTCACTTAAATTTTCATAAAGACTATAAATCTCATCAGGAGTTTTTTCCATAAAAGCTCCTCCACATATAGAATCAACCATATTTCTATGTTATTCTAATAATCCATCATAAAAGATTCTATTGAGTTGTCACTTGGGTATAGCATGATGATGACACTTTCTAAATAAATCTTTGAATGTTTCCCATGTTTCATGTAAAGTTTCTCCTAGTCTTTGAAAAAAACTTCATATATATTTTCTCATATTTTTGAGTTTTACTTAAGGGATAAATTTTTTGAAGAAAAGCTTATTCTATGTCTTTCCAGCTAGTTAATTCTCTATCTAATGTGGATAGCCAATAACTAGCTTTGTCTCTTAGTGTATGAGGAAATAATTTCATCTTAATAATTTTCGATGTGACTTGAGGAAGATTAACTAACTCACAGACCATATGAAATTTTTCTAAGTACTGATGAGGTTCCTCTAAAGGTAATCCATGAAAATTAGGGAGCATTTGAAAAATTCTTAGATTTATTTCGAATTTAATAGTAGGTACTAATAGGACTCTAATATTGGATGCTCTTTAAAATGAATTAGGGATATAATAATTTTTCATGGCCATAGGATTGTTCTCAATTTGACTTGTACTTCCTTCAAGATCCATCAAAATTAATTTTTCTTTTAGATTTTTAGTTTTGAATGAAATCAAGAAAGGATTTTCTAGCATTGGATGTAAGGATCTTCTACCATGCATACAAAAAATCAATAAATTTGAGGAAAAAGTTTAGTAATTGTTACCCTCCTTCAATATGCTGTAGTCCTTATCTTGTTTCTCTTTGTTCCCTTTTTTTTAAAAAAATCAGCAAAAAGAAAATAAAATAAGAGTTAAATTCTTTTGTGTACTCTAAGAGAAAAATAGAAATATAGTAAATATTATGCAATACATCCTTGGCAACAGTGCCAAAATTTGACGTGACTTAGTCGTTGTATATTAAATCACGTAAATCTAAAATTTATAAAACTAGAAAATATGAATTTTCAGATATTTAGAAGTATTTCTGAACAAATATCTCAATTATAATTTTATAAAACTTCTAAAAATAGTAGTAATTTTCTTCCCACGTCGTGTTGCATGTCTCTATATTACACACCAAGTAGGCAATCTGGAAAATTATTCCTCAAATTATAGTTTACCTCTCTCTCTCTCTCTCTCTCTCTCTCTCTCTCTCTCTCTCGCTAGATATACATATATATCACATAGTAAATTCCTATGCCCACGTTGGGAATGCAAGCGTAGAAACTTCTTGGAGATCTTATCTGAACCCTGGGGTTCCTGTTCTGGGGAATTTTTGGGATGCCCAGAAGGGCCAAAGAGCTGGAGCTCTCGATTCTAGTGGAAGGAAGACTGATGACAAGGTAAAACTATTTCAACCCATAAAATTAGTCGCATTCCCGAGAACCATTAAAAATCTGGAATAGCCCCAAAAGATGGTTCTCAATGCTGACGGTAATGACAATGGAAAATTTAGATGATAATAGCCCTACAGCATAAATTTTGTTATACGTTGAATAAAATGCAAACACATATTCTTAATCGCCCTACAGCATAAATTAATAATGAATACTTCACCCCCCAACTTAAAGGAGGCTTGACTGTTTCCTAATATTTATAAACTAGGAGAACCACTTATTAATGTTACAGTTGCTTTGTTTGATCATGTTGGTGTTTTGATCAAAAGCCTAATCAATTAAGGACTACCAGCTTCCATAGGAGTGGCGCATCTTCACTATTTTGGAGTAGATAGAGCCACAAAATTATTATTTTTTGGTTCCACTGATCGGTAATAGCCGGTAATTATTCAGAATTTTTCTCAAAGAATATTATTTTCTATGAATTTTATACTAATAAATAAAAAGAAAATATATTTAAAATTCATGAAAAAGGAAATAAGGGTGCAGACATCAAGATGATGTTAGTGCCCAGCAAATGCGAATCAGGCAAAAATAGAGTTCCGCCTAGTGATTCTTACATAAGCGATTACAAACGATCTAATTGATCAAATTTAGATCTGTAAAAGCCAAAAGAATCATAAGTGAATGAAATATATTTTGATAAATTAAAATCACACAAATTATCACTAAATGAAGCATAAAGTAAGTTGAAAGTAAGAAAATAGAGTTCTAGCGTCGCAGCGGTGATGCGTCGGCGATGCACTAGAATCTTGAGCGTTTGGGAGGATCGTCATGTAGTGTCCATGGCCTCGAAGGCTCTCCTTTGACAAAGACGACGTGGGCAATCTATAGATCTGCTTGCAAAGTCTAGAGATCAATGAAATGGGTTGTCGAATCGTCTCTGGCAGCTATCACTTGATAGAATGAAAAAATGGCAACTTTGCGGCTCTTTGGTGACTGTCACTCGATGGAGAGGAGCTAGATGGAGGCCGAGCACGTGTCAGGGAGCTTCATCCTCAAGTCTGTGCAGTAAGAGGAGGCTCTTCGTCACATCTGGTATGCTCTCAAGAGGTGGCGACTTGTCTCTCGACGGATTGTCCTCTTCTCGACGATGGCTTGTTTGTTGATCAATCGGAGATGCTTTACTTGATGAATTTGCGATCCTTTTATCACGAATCGTTCAGCAATTTTAGTAACAATGCTCCGCGAATCATGTTGATGAGATTTTTGCTGATATTCCAGTAATTCTGGTTGCTTAATCCTTCACTGGCGATCTTTAGGAAAGTCACAATAATTAGAGAAAAAAAATATGAGTTTTGGCTCTAGGATGATTCAAACCCGCACCAGTTGCCTAACCTTTATAAGGAAGGTGTGATGTGGGTTTAGCCCCACATTAGTTGTGCACCGATTTTTGGGGGGAATATATAGTAATGTTACATTTATAAGCAAGTCCCTTGATAAGTCTTCATTATCATGAGTTAATAATTAGTAAATAATATAGTTTTAGCCTTAACTCATGATAAATAGACTTATATTTGTGTTAAAGCATGAAAAGTGGTTTTCAGTTGATTAACGTGAATTTTTGGGTAATTATGTGATTTTATACGATTTTTACAGTCTTAGTTTTGAGATAAATGAAGAACAAGAAATAAAAATAAAAATATTGCAAAATGGGGGGACCCGCCGGCCAGCCGGGCCCGCAAGCGGGTCGGAAGCGCAGTCGGGGAGTAGCCGCGAGCAGGGGCTCGAGCGGCTTGCTTGGATCGATAGGGGCACGTGTGCGCCACTCCCCTTCCACGTCACCGGTGGTCAGCCGGCTGTGGGGCAAGGAGTGGTCGTACACGCGAGAGGACTTTGCCTAGAAAGCTAACTTTACTATATATTCGCCCGAATAATCCGCGCACAACCGATGTGGGACTAAACCCGCGTCACACCTTGTTCAGGGGCGGGCGACCGCCGCGGGTTCGAATCCTCCCAGAGTCAAAATTCATATATTTTTAACTGATTATCGCGACTTTCCTGCAGATCGCCGGTGAAGGATTAAGCAACCGGAATCGCTGGATCATCGGCGAAAATCTCGTCAACGCGATTCGCGGAGCATTGCTACTAAAATTTCTGAACGATTCGCGATAAAAGGATCGCAATCCATCGAGTAAATCATCTCCGATTGATCGACGAACAAGCCGTCGTCGGGAAGAGGACGATCCGCCGGGAGACCAGTCGCCACCTCCTGAGAGCGTACCAGATGCGATGAAGAGCCTCCTCTTGCTGCGCGGACCTGAGGATGAAGCTCCCTAACACGCGCCTCACCTCCATCCAGCCCCTCTCCGTCGGGTGACAGCCGCCGGAGAGCCGCAAAGTCGCCGTTTTTCCGCTCCGCCGGGTGACAGCCGCCGGAGACGATTCGACGACCCACTTCATTGGTCTCTAGACTTCGCGAGAAGATCTAGAGATTGCCCACGTCGTCTTTGTCCAAGGAGAGCCTTCGAGGCCGTGGACACTGCACGACGACCCTCCCGAACGCTCAGGATTCCGGTGCATCGCCGACGCGTCGCCGTCGCGACGCCGGAACTCTGTTTTCCTGCTTTATCTAGAGATTTCCCACGTCGTCTTTGTCCAAGGAGAGCCTTCGAGGCCGTGGACACTGCACGACGATCCTCCCGAACGCTCAGGATTCCGGTGCATCGCCGACGCATCGCCGTCGCGACGCCGGAACTCTGTTTTCCTGCTTTCAATTTAATTTACGCTTCATTTAGTGATACTTTGTTGATTTTTATTTACCAAACTATACTTCGTTCAACTACGATTCTTCCGGCTTTTACAGATCTTAATTTGATTAATTGAGTCGTCTGTAATCGCCTACGTAAGAATCGCCGGGCGGAACTCTGTTTCCGCCTGATTCGCGTTCGCCGGGCGCTGACGTCATCCTGACGTCCGCACCCTTATTTCCTCTTTTTTTTGTGAATTTTAAATATATTTCCTTTTTATTTCCTAGTATAAAATTCGTAAGAAAATCGTACTCATTGAGAAAAATTCTGAATAATTACCAGATATTATATTACATCCCTGTGATCGACCTGGAAAATTACCACTATTTTTGGAATTTTTATTGAATTATAATTGATATATTTATTTAGAAATACTTCTAAATATCCGAAAATTCGTATTTTCTAGTTTTATAAATTTTATATTTGCGTGATTTAACATACAACGACTGAGTCACGTCAAATTTTGGCGCCGTTGCCGGGGATGTATTGCATAATATTTAGTATTTTTCTGTTTTTCTATTAGAGTACACAAAAAAAAAAAAAACTTTACTCTTGTTTTATTTTCTTTTTGCTGATTTTTATTAGAAAAAGGGAACGAAAAGAAGCACGGCAAGGACTGGAGCATCCTGAAGGAGGGTAACAGTTACTAACTTTTTCCCTCGAATTTATTGATTTTTATGCATGGTAGAAGATCCTTGCATCCAAGGCTAGAAAATCCTTTTATTATTTCATTCAAAAATAAAAATCCGAAAGAAAAATTAATTTTGATGGATCCTGAAGGAAGTACAGGTCAAACTGAGAACAATCCTATGGCCATGAAAAATCATTATATCCCTGATTCATTTCAAAGAGCATCCAATATTAGAGTCCCATTAGCACCCACTGTTAAATTCGAAATAAATCCAGGAATTTTTCAAATGCTCCCTAATTTTCATGGATTGCCTTTAGAGGAACCTCATCAGCACTTAGAAAAATTTCATATGGTCTGTGATTTAGTTAATCTCCCTCAAGTTACACCGGAAATTATTAAGATGAAATTATTCCCTCATACACTTAGGGACAAAGCTAGTCATTGGCTATCCACATTAGATAGAGAATTAACTAGCTGGAAAGATATAGAACAGGCCTTTCTTCGAAAATTTTATCCCTTAGGAAAAACTCAAAATATGAGAAAACATATATGGAGTTTTTCTCAAAGACCAGGAGAAACTTTGCATGAGACATGGGAAAAATTCAAAGATTTACTTAGAAAGTGTCCTCATCATGCTATACCCAAGTGGCAGCTCAATAGAATTTTTTATGATGGATTATTAGAACAACATAGAAATATGGTTGATTCTATATGTGGAGGAGCTTTTATGGAGAAAACTCCTGATGAGATTTACAATCTTTATGAGAATTTAAGTGAAAATTCTAGAGATCAAGCCTCTTTTGAATTATATGACAGGGATAAGAAGAGAGGAATTTATGAATTGCATCATGATGATGATTCTAAACTTAGAAATGAGGTTAATCAGATTAATCAAAGATTAGAAAAAATTGATTTACTTATTGATAATATTAGAAAGCCTTTTAACCCTCAACTTAATTCGAATAGTACATGTCCTATGTATGGTGAAAATGATTATTCTGAACTTCAATGTTATAATTTAGATCAATCATTTCACCCTATGCAAGAACAAGTGCAAGTAGCTCACGGTTTTAATAGAAATAGGGAAAATTTTTCAAATTCTTATAATCCTAATTGGAGGAATAATTTTTCATGGAGAGACCCAAATAATATTCAAAATCCAGAAGCACTTAGACCCAATTCAAACTCTGAATTTCGTCCAAAACAAGAAAATAGATTTCAGAAAAATCAGCCCTCTCAAACCCAACCTGATGCTATGGAAATGATGCAGCAAATGAGCCAAATGATGCAACAAACTATGAATCAAATGATGCAACAAACTATGAATCAAATGATGCAGCACCAGAAACAAATTATAGAGGCCCTTGGGAATAAGAGAGAAGAGGGACAGCTACCTAGTCAGCCCATAGAAAATCCAGGGAACCGCCCAACAATAGGATTTCAGCATGGGGAGTCTAGTAGCATGAATCTAGGAAAAAACCCACGAAATGAAAATGTTAGGACAGTGAATGCATTAAGGAGTGGTAAGATCTTACCTGATCCTTATCCCCAAACATTAGAAGAAAAAGAAAATGTGGACACCCCAAAACAAAATCAAATAGGAGTAGAAGAGGATTTTATAGATTCTACCAAAGAAATTTCGAAAGAGAGGACAACCATTCCATTTCCTAAAGCTCTAGAGCCTAGACAAAGAAAGAAAAAGGAACACAATGAAGAAATAAAGAAAATTTTACAAGATGTGCAAATTAGTCTTCCTTTACTCACTGCCATTGAACATATTCCTGAATATGCTAGAGTTTTGAAAGAAATGTGTACACCAAAAAGGGCACCTAGAGTAGAAAAATTATCTATGCATGCTAGTGCGTTATTATTAAATCAATTACCATTTAAATTGAGAGATACAGGTGCTCCTTTAATTTCGTGTGATATTGGTGGATTCATTTTTCAGAATGCATTACTTGACACCGGTGCTAGTATTAATTTATTACCTGCAAGTATTTGTGATAAATTTAATATTTCTGATCTTAAACCTTCTACTGTTACCTTACAATTTGCTGATAGATCCATAAAACATCCTAAAGGTATCTTAGAAAATGTGATAGTGACAGTTAAAGGGTGTAAATTTCCAGCTGATTTTGTAGTGCTGGAAATGGATTTTAATGGACAGTTTTATGATACACCAATCATCCTAGGGAGACCATTTTTGCATACAGCAAAGATGAATATTGATTTTCCCACAGGTATTGCGAAAATTTCATGTGGAGATCAATCAGTAGAAATTAAAATTTTTGAGGTATCAAATGATCTTAAGAAATCCCAAGTATATGATTGTCATACCATAGATCTTCTAGATGATTTTGATGATCCAGATGTTATTGATGACTGTGTGCTGGAAGAATTAGAGGAAATAGAGAATATAAATTTAGAAGAAAAGAAAGAGGAAGATCATCTGAATTTAGAGTTGAAACCTCTCCCCTCTAGTTTAAAATATATGTTTTTGGAGGAAAATAATTCATTTCCTGTTATTATTGCAGCTGATTTGAGTAATGAACAGGAAGAAGAATTATTAGATGTACTTCGAAAAAATAAGAAGGCTATGGGCTGGAAAATGGACGATCTAAGGGGCATTGATATGAGAGTATGCATGCATAGTATATATTTAGAGGAGGGGGCTAGAACTAGCAGGGAACCACAACGAAGATTAAATCCTAACATGATGGAAATTGTAAAAAAAGAAATTTTAAAGTGGCTGGCTGCTGATATTATTTACCCTATTTCAGATAGCAAATGGGTTAGTCCTACACAAGTAGTGCCAAAAAAATCAGGGATCACGGTTATAAAAAACGAAAATGGGGAGGAAATACAAACAAGACTAACTACCGGTTGGAGAGTTTGCATTGATTATAGAAAATTAAATTCAGTTACTAGAAAAGATCATTTTCCCCTACCATTTACTGATCAAATTTTAGAAAAATTAGCTGGAAAAAACTTTTTTTGTTTTCTGGATGGATACTCTGGTTATAATCAAATTTATATAAACCCTTTAGATCAAGAAAAAACAACTTTCACTTGTCCATTTGGTACTTTTGCTTTTAAACGCATGCCTTTTGGTCTGTGTAATGCTCCAGCCACATTTCAAAGATGTATGCTGTCTATTTTTTCTGATATGATTGGAAAATGCATGGAAATTTTTATGGACGATTTTTCTGTTTTTGGTGAATCATTTGATGAATGCTTAAATCATTTACAGCATGTACTTGAGAAATGCATAGAGAAAAAATTAGTTTTGAGTTGGGAGAAATCACATTTTATGGTTAAAGAGGGAGTTGTGTTGGGTCATATTGTGAGTGAAAAGGGTTTAGAGGTGGATAGAGCAAAAATCGATATTATATCTAAAATGAAACCTCCGAATTCAGTAAAACAGATTAGATCTTTCTTGGGTCATGCAGGTTATTACAGAAAATTTATTCAAGATTTTTCGAAAATTTCTAAACCTCTCACCATGCTATTATCTAAAGATGTGCCTTTTAATTTTGATGAGAAATGTTTTGAGTCTTTTTCCGAAATAAAAAGATTACTTACTGAGGCACCCATTTTACAAGCTCCTGATTGGTCCCTTCCCTTTGAAATAATGTGTGACGCTTCGAATTATGCAGTGGGGGCCGTTCTAGGACAAACAAAAGAGTCAAAACCCATAGTAATTTCATATGCTAGTAAAACTATATCTGATGCTCAATTAAATTATACCACGACTGAAAAAGAATTGTTAGCTGTAGTATTTTCGTTAGAAAGGTTTAGATCATATATTTTGGGAGCTAAAATTATTATTTATACTGATCATGCAGCATTAAAATATCTGTTAAATAAGAAAGATGCAAAGCCACGTTTATTAAGATGGATTTTATTGTTGCAAGAATTTGACTTAGAAATAAAAGATAAAAAGGGTTTCGAGAATGTTGTTGCTGACCATCTTTCTAGATTAAGTGATACAGGAATAAATGCAGCACCTTTACAAGACGCATTTCCAGATGAACAATTGATGGCAGCTCAACATCAACCATCACCATGGTATGCACATATTGTTAATTTTCTGGTTTCTGGAAAAACTCCAGAACAGTGGGATAAGAACAGAAAAAATCATTTCTTTTCTAAGATTAGAAATTATTTTTGGCATGATCCTGATTTATATTACTTGGGCAATGATCAAATTTTAAGGAGATGTGTTCCTGAAGAAGAATATCATAGCATTATTAACATGTGTCATTCATCTAACTGTGGAGGACATTTCTCTGGACGAAAAACAGCTGCAAAAATTTTCCAGTGTGGTTTTTATTGGCCTACAATCATTAGAGATTCTATAGAATTTAGTAGAACATGTATTTCATGCCAATCTATAAGTAACATGAGTAAAAAAGATGAAATGCCCATGAGTAATATGTTAGTAGTCGAAATTTTTGATGTATGGGGAATAGATTTCATGGGTCCCTTCCCATCAGCTGAAAAATATGAATATATTTTGCTTGCTGTTGATTATGTGTCGAAGTGGGTGGAAGCTATTCCTACTAGAACTAATGATCATAAAATCGTGATGAAATTTGTGCAGGAAAATATTTTTTCGAGATTTGGATGTCCTAGAGTGATTATTAGTGATGGAGGAACACATTTTACAAATAAAAATTTCAGAGAACTGTTGAAAAAGAATGGAGTACACCATAGAGTAGCCACTCCATATCATCCCCAAACAAATGGGCAAGCTGAAGTAGCAAATAGGGAAATTCAGAGAATTTTGAGAAAAATAGTTAGACCAGATAGGAAAGATTGGCCCACGAAATTACAAGATGCATTATGGGCTTATAGAACAGCTTATAAAAATCCCATAGGTATGTCCCCATTTCGTCTCATTTTTGGAAAGCCATGTCATCTTCCTGTGGAAATAGAGCATAAAGCATTATGGGCTATAAAAAATTTATGTATGGATGAAAAATCAGCTGGTGGGCATAGAATTTTTCAGTTACATGAACTAGAGGAGTTGAGGAATGAAGCTTATGAAAATCATAGAATATATAAAGAAAAAACTAAAACTTTTCATGATAAATACATTAGCAGAAAAAAATTTGATGTTGGACAAAAAGTGTGGTTATATGATTCTAGGCTGAAATTATTCCCAGGAAAATTAAAATCAAAATGGAAAGGGCCTTATGTGGTGGAAGAGACATATGATCATGGGGCTGTAATGATTAAAGATCCTAAAAGTGATCATAACTTTAAGGTAAATGGACAGCGGCTTAAACATTACATAGAACATGAACGCCTTGCAGAAAAAGAAATTTTATTATTAAAAGAAATTCAAGAGTAAGATCAAGGAGTCCAGCTGGAGACATTAAATTCAGCGCTGCATGGGAGGCAACCCATGGTTTTTATTTCATTTTGTTTGATTTTTTTTAAGCTCTGTTTTTCTTAGAATTTCGCAGTACTTGTTTCTGTATTTGTTTTTCTGTCGAAAAAGTGCAGGAGGAGTGTAAGATGAAGTGGAAAATTAAAAACGAGGTTGAGGTGATGTCTTTCTGAGCTTCATCATTTATGAAAATATTTTTAATGCTTAACTTTGCAGATATGCATGCTTCACTTGAAAATTATATTTTCTGCATATTCTGTTTCGAGTTTTCTGTGTCATTGAGGACAATGTCATTTTTAAGTTGGGGGGTGAAGTATTCATTATTAATTTATGCTGTAGGACGATTAAGAACATGTGTTTGCAGTTTATTCAACTTAGAACAGCAACTAAAAAAATAAAAATAAAATAAAATTCGGAAAAATTGCAACAATTTTCTGGTTTTCTGTCAGAAACAACAGACTGTCAAAAACAGCAGACAAAAAACAGCCCGAAATTTGAAATTCTAGAAGACCCTTTTCTCACATTTCAATCCCTTAGACATATATTACTGAAATTCGAAATTACAGCTATAAAGAAGATAGTTTTGATTTATTTTTGACAAATTTATTGCTGCTAAAACTGAAAACAGAAAACAGAACTGTCAGAACTATCTAATTTACAAATTCCTTACATCATATTGCATGCATGAAAAATTAAATCAATTAGATTGATTGATACCAAAAGATACTAGGAAGATTATTATTGAGTCAAAAGAATGATCTAGTAGCATGAAATGTTGGAATACTCCTTGGATACATGATAGATAACATGGATTTGATTTTACAGATTTTCACTTCATGATCTTGATGGATAATATTTACTTGATGTGAAAATTTGATTGATCATTTGAGTTTAATGGAGATTTTTGCACCCTGATCTATAGGACTTGTGAGGAGAAATCACTTATTTCAAAAAAAAAAAAGAAAAAAAAAAAAAGAGAGAGCAATGTGAAAAATCTAGAAACGAAGAGTACACATGGAGGGTGTGAGACATCATTCTCATTGTCGAAAATCGTGCATAGAAAAACACTTGCTGAAAAATAAGTGGATAAAGTGAAAGCCCTGAAAATGAAGAGTACACATGGAGGGTGTGAGACATCATTCTTATTGTCGAAATTTGTCTACAGGAAAAGCTACTTATCCACTATATATATATAAAAAAAAAAAAAAGAAGGAAGAAATATAGTGCAAACTTCAAAAATCAAGTCATAGAAAAAGGGAAATGTAAGATCAATATTATTCTTGGATGAGTATTGATAATTGGAACATCTTGTAAATACATCTATGAGTGAAGAAGTGATAAAGATGTGAATAGAAGAAGTGAAGTCTAGATTGTTATTCCAAGGAGTGTTTAAACATTTAAGTGCTTGACATCATTCTTAAATACTTGATATAAGAATCCAAAGTGTTTAAAGGTGCATCATTTCTAATTGTATTTCTTTTCTGTATTGAAATATGATGTTTGAGATTTGTAAATTTTTATTTTCGTAATTCCATTGCTAAGGGACTAGCAATGATTTAAGTTGGGGGGTGTGATAAGTCTTCATTATCATGAGTTAATAATTAGTAAATAATATAGTTTTAGCCTTAACTCATGATAAATAGACTTATATTTGTGTTAAAGCATGAAAAGTGGTTTTCAGTTGATTAACGTGAATTTTGGGTAATTATGTGATTTTATACGATTTTTACAGTCTTAGTTTTGAGATAAATGAAGAACAAGAAATAAAAATAAAAATATTGCAAAATGGGGTGATCCGCCGGCCAGCCGGGCCCGCAAGCGGGTCGGAAGCGCAGTCGGGGAGTAGCCGCGAGCAGGGGCTCGAGCGGCTTGCTTGGATCGATAGGGGCACGTGTGCGCCACTCCCCTTCCACGTCACCGGTGGTCAGCCGGCTGTGGGGCAAGGAGTGGTCGTACACGCGAGAGGATTTTGCCTACAAAGCTAACTTTACTATATATTCGCCCAAATAATCCGCGCACAACCGATGTGGGACTAAACCCGCGTCACACCTTGTTCAGGGGCGGGCGACCGCCGCGGGTTCGAATCCTCCCAGAGTCAAAATTCATATATTTTTAACTGATTATCGCGACTTTCCTGCAGATCGCCGGTGAAGGATTAAGCAACCGGAATCGCTGGATCATCGGCGAAAATCTCGTCAACGCGATTCGCGGAGCATTGCTACTAAAATTTCTGAACGATTCGCGATAAAAGGATCGCAATCCATCGAGTAAATCATCTCCGATTGATCGACGAACAAGCCGTCGTCGGGAAGAGGACGATCCGCCGGGAGACCAGTCGCCACCTCCTGAGAGCGTACCAGATGCGATGAAGAGCCTCCTCTTGCTGCGCGGACCTGAGGATGAAGCTCCCTAACACGCGCCTCACCTCCATCCAGCCCCTCTCCGTCGGGTGACAGCCGCCGGAGAGCCGCAAAGTCGCCGTTTTTCCGCTCCGCCGGGTGACAGCCGCCGGAGACGATTCGACGACCCACTTCATTGGTCTCTAGACTTCGCGAGAAGATCTAGAGATTGCCCACGTCGTCTTTGTCCAAGGAGAGCCTTCGAGGCCGTGGACACTGCACGACGACCCTCCCGAACGCTCAGGATTCCGGTGCATCGCCGACGCGTCGCCGTCGCGACGCCGGAACTCTGTTTTCCTGCTTTATCTAGAGATTGCCCACGTCGTCTTTGTCCAAGGAGAGCCTTCGAGGCCGTGGACACTGCACGACGATCCTCCCGAACGCTCAGGATTCCGGTGCATCGCCGACGCATCGCCGTCGCGACGCCGGAACTCTGTTTTCCTGCTTTCAATTTAATTTACGCTTCATTTAGTGATACTTTGTTGATTTTTATTTACCAAACTATACTTCGTTCAATTACGATTCTTCCGGCTTTTACAGATCTTAATTTGATTAATTGAGTCGTCTGTAATCGCCTACGTAAGAATCGCCGGGCGGAACTCTGTTTCCGCCTGATTCGCGTTCGCCGGGCGCTGACGTCATCCTGACGTCCGCACCCTTATTTCCTTTTTTTTCGTGAATTTTAAATATATTTCCTTTTTATTTCCTAGTATAAAATTCGTAAGAAAATCGTACTCATTGAGAAAAATTCTGAATAATTACCAGATATTATATTACATCCCTGTGATCGACCTGGAAAATTACCGCTATTTTTGGAATTTTTATTGAATTATAATTGATATATTTATTTAGAAATACTTCTAAATATCCGAAAATTCGTATTTTCTAGTTTTATAAATTTTATATTTGCGTGATTTAACATACAACGACTGAGTCACGTCATCCCTTCTCTCACGTGTACGACCACTCCTTGCTTCATAGCTAGCTAGCTACTAGTGACGTTGAAGGGGAATGGCGCACACGTGCCTCTATCGGTCCAAGTCGCTCGAGCCCCTACTTGCGGCTACTCCTCGACTATGCTTCTAACCCGCTTGCAGGCCCGACTAGCTGGCGGGTCCCCCCATTTTGCAATATTTTTATTTTTATTTCCTTTTCTTCATTTATCTCAAAAGTAAGATTGTAAAAATCATATAAATTTGTATAAAATCATATAATTACCCAAAAATTCACATTAATAAGTTGAAAACTATTTTTCACGCTTTAACACAAATATAAGTCTATTTATCATGAGTTAAGGCTAAAACTATATTATTTACTAATTACTAACTCATGATAATGAAGACTTATCACAAATTTCATTACTAAGGGACTAACAATGATTTAAGTTTGGGGTTGTGATTCAAGTTAATTCATGATAAATAGACTAATATTTGTGTTAAAGTGTGAAAAGTTGTTTTCAGTTGATTAATGTGAATTTTTGGGTAATTATGTAATTTTATATGAATTTATATAATTTTTATAGTTTTACTTTTGAGATAAATGAGGAAAAAGAAATAAAAGTAAAAATATAACAAAATGGGGGTACCCACTAATAAGTCCTCATTATCATGAGTTAATAAGTAGTAAATAATATAGTTTTGGCCTTAACTCATGATAAATAGACTTATATTTGTGTTAAAGTGTGAAAAGTTGTTTTCAATTGATTAATGTGAATTTTTAGGTAATTATGTGATTTTATACAAACTTATATGATTTTCATAGTCTTACTTTTGAGATAAATGAAGAAAACGAAATAAAAAAAAAAAAAGACAAAATGGAGGGGACCTGCCAACCAGTCGGGCCCGCAAGCAGATCAGAAGCACAATCAGGGAGTAGCCGTGAGTAGGGGCTTAAGCAGCTTGGATCGATAGAGGCACATGTGCGCCACTCTCCATCACTGGTGGCCAGCCGGCTGTTGGGCAAAGAGTGGTTGTACACACGACAGAAGGGATTTACTTTGAAATATAACATTACTATATATTCGCCTGATAATTTGGCACACAAGTGATGTGGGACTAAACCTGCATCACCTTCTACAGAAAGGGCAGGCAACTAGCCATCGGTGAAGGATTAAGCAACCAGAATCACTTGATCATCGGCGAAAATTTTGTCAACACAATTCGTGGAGCATTGTTACTAAAATTGTTGAACGATTTGCGAAAAAAGGATCGTGAATCCATCGAGTAAAGCATCTCTGATTGATCGACGGACAAGCCATCATCGGGAAGAGGACGATCTGTCGGGAGATGAGTCGCCACCTCCTGAGAGCGTATCAGATGCGATGAAGAGCCTCCTCTTGCTATGTTGACCTGAGGATGAAGCTCTCTGACACATGCCCCACTTCCATCCAGCTCCTCTCCATCGGGTGATAGCCGCCGGAGAGCCACAAAGTCGTCGTTTTTCCGCTCTACCAGGTGATAGCCATTGGAGATGATTTGATGACTAATTTCATTAATCTCTAGACTTCGCAAGGAGATCTAGAGATTGCCCACATCGTCCTTATCCAAGGAGAGCCTCTGAGGCCGTGGACTCTACACGACTATCCTCCCAAACGCTCAAAATTCTGGTGCATCGCCGACGCATCGCCACCGTGACATCGGAACTCTATTTTCCTACTTTCAACTTAATTTCTATTTCATTTAGTGATAATTTGTTGATTTTAAATTTACCAAGATATACTTCATTTCATTATGATTCTTTTGGGTTTTATAGATCTTAATTTGATCAATTAAATTGTTTGTAATCGCTTACATAAGAATCACCGAGTGGAACTCTATTTTCACCTAATTTGCCTTCACCGGGTGCTGACGTCATCTTGATGTCTGCACCCTTATTTCCCTTTTTTGTGAATTTTAAATATATTTTTTTCATTTACTAGTATAAAATTCATAGAAAATAGTATTCTTTGAGCAAAATTTTAAATAATTACCATATATTATATTACATCCTTGTAATTGACTTGGAAAATTATCACTATTTTGAAAGTTTTATTGAATTATAATTGATATATTTGTTTAGAAATACTTCTATATATCTAAAAATTTCTATTTTCTAGTTTTATAAATTTTAAATTTGCGTGATTTACTATACAACGACTAAGTCACGTCAATGTATTACATAATATTTAGTTTTTTTCTATTTTTTCTTAGAGTACACAAAAATATTAACTCTTGTTTTATTTTCTTTTTTTATAATTTTTTTGTTTTAAAAGAATGAAGAGTAGCAAGGCAAAGACTAGAGCATACTGAAGGAGGGTAACAATTATTAATTTTTTTTTGTAATTTATTGATATTTATGTATTGTAGAAGATCCTTGCATCTAAGGTTAGAAAATCATTTCACTATTTCGTTCAAAACTAAAAATCTGAAAGAAAAATTAATTTTGATAGATCCTGAAAGAAGTACAAGTCAAACTAATAATAATCCCATGGCCATAAAAAATTATAACATCCCTGATTCATATCAATGAGCATCCAATATTAAAGTCTCATTAGCAACCATTGTTAAATTCAAAACAAATTCAAAAAGTTTCCAAATGCTCTCTAATTTTCATGGATTACCTTTAGAAAAACCCCATCAACATTTTAAAAAAAATTACATAGTCTGTGATTTAGTTAATCTCTTTCAAGTTACACCAAAAGTTATTAAGATAAAATTATTTCCTCATAGCTTAAAGGACAATACTAGTTATTGGTTATCCACATTAGATAGAGAATTAACTAGTTAGAAAGATAGAACAAACCTTTTCTTTGAAAATTTTCTCCCTTAGAAAAAACTCAAAATATGAGAAAACATATATAAAGTTTTGCTCAAAAGTCAAAAAAGCTTTACATCTAATATGAAAAAAATTTATAAATTTACTCATAAACTATTCTCATCATGCTATACCAAAGTGGCACATTAATAGAATTTTTTATGATAAATTATTAGAACAACATAGAAATATGGTTGACTCTATATGTGGAAGAGCTTTTTTGGAGAAAACCCTTGATGAGATTTCTAGAATTTATGAGAATTTAAGTAAATATTCTAGAAATCAAGCCTTTTTTGAGTTATATGATGGGATAAGGAAAGAAGAATTTATGAACTACATCATGATGATGATACTAATTTAAAAAATGAGGTTAATCAGATTAATTATAGATTAGAAAAACTTGATTTACTTATTCACAATATTAAAAAGCCTCATAACCTTCAATTTAATGCATATAGTACATGTCCTATGTATAATGAAAATGACCATTTCGAATTTCAATGTTATAATTTTGATCACTCATTTCAGCCTAGGTAAGAGCAAGTGCAAGTACCCCATGATTTTAGTAAAAATATAGAATATTTTTCTAATTCTTATAATCTTAATTGAAGGAATATTTTTTTGTAGAGAGATCTAAATAATATTCAAAATTCAGAAGCACTTAGACTCAATATAAATTCTGAATTTTGTCCAAAACAAGAACATAGATTTCAGAAAAATCAGTCTTCCAAAATCCAACTTGATTTTACAAATATGATGCAGCAAATGAGCCAAATGATTTAGCAAACAATGAAACAAATGATGTTGCAGCAAAAACAATTTATAGAGGCTTTTAAGAATAAGAGAGAAGAGGGACAATCACCTAGTCGACTCACAAAAAATTCAGGAAACTATCTAATAGTAAGATTTCAGTAAGGAGAGTCTAGCTAAAAATTTTTAAAAAAACTCTCAAAATAAAAATATTAGGATAATAAATATATTAAGTGAGAATATTTTACCTGATCTATATTCTTAATTGTTAGAAGAAATAGATGAGCCATTAGAAGTAAAAGAGAATATTAAGACTGAAAATATAGTAGCAGAAAACTTGAATAAAATTATTTATTACTCACAATTGATGAATGAATATAGTAAGGATGATGAGGAGAAAGAGTCCTT